TGCTGCTGCTGCTGCTGCTTTGGTTGGGGGAGAGCTTGGAGCTGCTGCGGGTGCTGCTGCTTTAGCTGGGGATGATGGTGAAGCTTTGGCTGGGGCTGGAGCTGACTTTGTGACGGATGGGGCTCTCGTCATTGGGGGAGGCCTCGGCACTGGAGGCTTCGTGACTGAGGTGGCCCTCTGGACTGGGCTTGGCTTCTGAGCCTGAGCTGGTTTCTGAGCTGGACCTGGACCAGGTTTCTGGGCCTGGCTGGGCTTTGGTACTGGTTCAGATGCTCTTTTAGCTGACTCTGGTGATGGCTCTACACTCTGTGATTTGACTGGTGCACCTATGAGATTGACATAAGATAGTTGCGTCAAATTATAGTTCTAAGACTATATAACACATAAAGGCAAGAAAAGCAAAAAAAAAGCAAAAAAGGAAAAGGAGATACATGAATAAGCATCATTATATCTTAGATCCAGCACCTGTTGTTTTAGTGCAGCAGTTAGAAAACCAGGCACCTTTAACACTCACCAAAGACCAAAGCAGAACATGATACAGATAATGAGCTTAAGTCTATACATGCCCATTCACATAATGACCTCTCACATTCATAGATATCCTAACCAACTCATCTGTCAAGAACAGACTGGTGCAAAGCAGGCTCTGAATGTCTGAACTGCAATGACCAGCAGGGGGCAGCAGATCAACAGTTAAGAGGAGGTGTGGTGACTCGCCTATCATGCCAAGTGTTAGTTGCTTTTATGCACAACAACTCGTGAGAGGAGGAAGCGTGGTGGTGGTAAAAAGAGAGGACGAGAGTAAAGGAGAAAGTCGGGGAGAGATGATACAACCAAGAAAGAATATTGGTTTCAAACAACCCAGTGACTCAAACGCAAGCAGCAAAGCAACCAATCATGCACCACAAAAGACAAAAGTGATTACACATGCGGAGAAGGAAGGGACTGGGCAGGGATGAGTTTCCAATGGCTGATAATCCACCTTCCAGGATTACAGTTGGGTATGTCCATTAAATGTTAAAGCCTCTTTACAAATGTTTCTTTGGTAATTGTATATTAATTAATGTTTATTATATACATCTATATGTTGAGTTAATTGATTTTTACTGACATTATACGGCCATATTTGATCTCATGATATGACCACTACAAGACCTTCATGAAAATTCATCCCAGACATTATTGTAAGGCAGCTAAATGGCCATAAGTCTTACGTTTTATCAGAGTTTGTCATAAAGCATCCCAATGGTTGCTTGGGACTCACGGCACATAAAAACCAAAGAAAATACCATTTGTACAAACACAATTTGTAAAGGGTGACACAATAAGAATTTGCTTGGACACAACACGTTTGTTTATATACAGTATACATACTTTATAATTATACATACAATTTGTTTACTGCTATTACATTAAATTTTCACTTGGGTCATTGCTTTATCTTAGGCAGTTCAGCCATGCAAGTCAACAAACAAAAAAGGTAAAAGGCCTCTGACGTGAGTTTGCACTAAACAACATCTCTTTATATCAATCAGGAAAGATTAAGATGACTAATATTCGTAGCCAGATGAAGTATGAAGATCAAATATCAGTAATTCAGTGGTTCAGTGTTCCAAGCAAATTAGTAATGCTCATGCAGAAAAAGAAAAAAGATGCTTATTTTCTTTGAAACTTTTCATTACTCACGTAACTAGGTTTTACAATTGCCAAGAAAAATAGGTATTGTGTACCGTATAAAGCCACTTTGTCTCAGGTATTATAACATAAACAATTAAGGTTAAATTCCAATCAAAGACAACACCAAGCAGTTATTCACAAAACATTCAGATCTTAAGGGGGATTTGTTGCTTGACAGAATGAAAAAAGTATTTGTTTACCATAAATTGCACCATAAGACTGTATAGATTTAAAGATGATAGGAAGCCCAAAAGCCAAGCATTCATCACTAAGACAGAAACACAACTGAGCTGAGCAGAACTTGCACAGTGAACATGAGCAGCACATTTAAGAAATGATCTTACTTTCCATTTAAAAATGAATACAAAATAAAAAGAACATCCATCTATTAAATAATCTCATGTCTGCCACTGTCCAATGATTCTGTTTGTGATAGATTATTGTCTTTGAAAGGCAAGGTTGTTAATGTCAGATATAGATACATTAAACTACAATCTGCACATATCAACACTGTAGGCACATGTTAATCTCTATCAATTCCTGTGAAACATAAAAAGCTAGCATCTCTAAAACAACCAGCACAAATACATTAAACACGACATGGCGTATCGGGCATTTTCCACATCCATGCAAAATGACAAAAAAAGGAATTCAAAATAATAAACAAACATGCAAACACACTCACACAAACAGTACAACTCCAATAATAATGGCTTTGTTAATTGACCATGTTATGCGCTGTTTCACCACTGCTTTTAGTAGGCACATTTAGTTTTAACACATCAGCCCTGAGCACAAATATCACCACACCAACACAGACACTATGGCTGCAATTACACTAAACAGGCTGGCTAAATGCACTGTGCTGTACATTTGCTTGTTAATTCAAGTGATAAAAGTTCAACATCTTTTTCTTTTCTTGGACCCAAATTACTGCAGTGATAATCACTGTCAACACCACACCGAAACCAGTGCCAGAGCATTCATTTTAAGGCAATGACGATTGACAGTGTTACCTTCAAGGAACAGAGATAAGGATGCCAATAAAATACAAACTGCTCTCATCCTTAAAAAAAATAGTTTTTGGAAATAGACATTCATTTTCTTGCCAAGAATTAAAAGAGAAGTTTGATGGCAGTCTAGCTAGCCTAGCTTAGCACAAAGACTGGAAACAGCTGGCCTGCTTCCCTCAAATCTGCCTACCAGCATCTCTAAAGCTCACTTGTTGACAGGTTAAATCTTTCAGTTAACTTGCATTAGAAAACTTTTTCTGGGAAGTTTTTTTTCCTGATTACAGTGATTATTATAACAGAGAAGGTGTTATATTTCTTTCAAACAAGGGATACTTAATGTGTACCACTGTCCCACGACTGATTCTGAGTTCCTAGACATGCTTTGGTCCTACATTGGCAGCACTTGTATTACAATGGAGAACAGTGTTCAGACAACCTTGAGGTTGAGGGCGCTGGCCCGAGGTCCTGTTTGGATCTGCCAGTCCTTCCTTAAGGGCAGCACTCTGGGGGAGATTCAGGGGGCGGGAGAAAGATAGAAAGAAAAACAAAGAGAGAAGGAGAGTGGGAAGAAAGGCAAACATGGTAAAGCAGGTTCTGGTAAATAATCAGCAGTGAACTGTGAGAGGCTACAGCAAAATGATTTCCATGCATTAACGCCTTGGATTCTGCCTCTCCTTATACTCTCAAGGAGAACTGAAGCAAACGCTGTATGAGCACGGGTCTTTGTAGCTATTTATTTTAGGTAATCCATTACAAATGCACAGGTTTTGTGGGGTATGCATTTCATTTCATACAGCCTCTACCTGTTGGGGCTGCACAGTAGTTGGCTTCTGGCCTTGAGGGGAGCGAGCAGGTGAACGGGAAGCACTAGATGACCTGGCAAGCAGTGCTTGGTTCATCTTAGCCAACACCACCTCTGAGATGAGCTGACGGTCCTCTGCCTGGTGATCACCAATCAACTGCATAGATGAACCCACAACCTGGACAAAGGAGGCACAGTCAGTGTATTACAAAATGTGTGCTTTTTTATTTAAAAGGTTACTTGACTGAAATGTTTTTGACCCAGACTGGACAACAGAATCAGGACAGACAAACAAAGGAGGTTTAAACAGCACGGTAGCACACTTCATGTGTGGTAAAAAGTCTCTGGTGTAACTGTAACTATAACTTGTTCACTCAGATAGAAAATTTGTGTAGAATGGTCAGTCTTGATTTATATGGGTAAGCTTTTTATGGATACTAAAAACCAAAACACTTTTCCAGTGGAGATGACTCATCGGGAGACATGTTTTTCATTTCTTTTTCCACTTCATTATCTAATCTATCGTCCACCAAACTACTGATTATTTCATTCTGACAGTCAGGCTACTTCAAACTTTAAGAGACATTGCTTATACCACAGTGACTGGGCGTTGGTGTCTTTGTGGCTCCTGTATCATCTCTCTCTCCTCCCTCTTCAGCCTCAGACTCTCTTACTGGGATTTGTAATCATAATCATCCAAACTTCATGCCTTACTTCTCCCCTCATTGTCCTTCTGGAGTTTCCAGCTCCTGCCAGTCATCTAAACTATTCAGCTACCTGTCTTACCTGTTTACTCTATGTAAACCTCAGTTTACGACTTTTTGCTGCCAATGCATCTGTGTTACCATGTGGCCATAGCTTTGGAGTTATTGCCTTAAACTTCTACCTGTCGGATTTTTTAACTGCCATCCCATCACCAACTGCAAGATTGTTTTATGACATTCAAACATAGCAAACAGGGTCTTTAACCATATATATTACTATCTACATTTTGGTTGAGCTACTCATTGCCAGCTGCCACAATTCTGACAAAAACTGACCTAGCTGACCCAGCTTTTTCCATGGATGAGGCGGCTGACTTGACCTACACCACTGAGTGGCTCTGTACCTACTGCCAAAATGCATCCAGAGAGAAACAGCTCTCTCTATAGCACTCCAGCTTGTGTCCTATAAACCCTGGCTTGTCAAGTTGCTCCCTGGGCTGGCAGAAATCTTGGCCACTCAACAGCTCAGTCCTATGGCCAAATTAGGGCCTGCTCCAGATCCCAAGTCTCCCAGTTCTTCTCCAATATCTTTCAGTTCTACCTGGTACTTCCAGAGTTTCCCTTTTGACTAACTCTCTGCTTACTTCTGCGTAGGCTAGCTCTCTACCTGCTTCGCTGCTCTCTAGTCCTGTGCCTTTGTCCCCTTTGGATAGCCATCCTGTTTATGCCCTCTCCGCCTCTGCTGTCTTGTTCCCAGGTCCCCCAGCAGAAAGCCACCCTGAGTCTCACAAGGATCATTTGTAGGCTTGTCATATTTTTGGGTTTAAATCAACGTAGAGCCTCTGGGTGCAAGTATGACTCCACTGGTTTCTGGGAGTCATTCTGCAGTCATTACACTTCTCAGTGCTCTAGTGTCTTAACTGCCCAGCACTCCTGAGACTCCACTGTCCATCCAATCCAGCTGGACAGGAATCCACTTTCCCTCAAGTACAGAGTCCTTGTTTCTCTATTAGTTTCTTCTTTTTTGTCTGATCCCCTCTCTGTTTGTGCCTGAATCTGTCTCTCTATCTGAGCCTGAACCCGTCTCTCTGTCTGAGCCTGATCCTGTCTCTCTATCTGAGCCTGATCCTGTCTCTCTATCTGAGCCTGAACCCGTCTCTCTGTCTGAGCCTGATCCTGTCTCTGTCTGAGCCTGAACCTGTCTTTAAATCCAAGCCTGAGCTTGTCTCTCTTTTTGAACTTGCGTCTCTGTCTGAGCCTAAACCACCGAGCCTGAACCTGTCTCTCTATCTGAGCATAAATCTGTCTGCCTGGGCCCCACCCTGTTTCTTTGTTTGGGTATGATCCCATCTCTCTATCTGAACCTGAACCCATCTCTAAATCCAAACCTGAGCTTGTCTCTTTATTTTAACTTGCATCTCTATCTAAGCCTGAACCACTGAGCCTGAACCTGTCTCTCTATCTGAGCATGGATCTGTCTGTCTGAGCCCCAATCTCTCTCTATCTGAGCCTGAAACACTGAGCCTGAACCTGTCTCTCTATCTGAGCATGGATCTGTCTGTCTGAGCCCCAACCTGTCTCTCTATCTGAGCATGAATCTGTCTGTCACGTTGGCTCTGGGCCTGATCCTGTCTCTCTGAACCTGAAAGTGTCTCTGTCTGTCTGTCACATTCTGCCTCTCCCTCCAGCCACACTCCCACTTCCCCCACACCCCTGAACTCTTCCTGTCTGTCTGCATTTGGGTCCTTCCCTTGTAGCCTGCATTTCCTGAGTCGTGACACTGTCTGAACCTGTTTCTCTGTCTGAACCTGAACCTTACGGAGCCTCCACAGTCCTGCCCACCTGAACAGTCCTTCTTGCTTCTTCACTACACAGATTTCCTCCTGGCTGCCATCACTACACACCAGCTGCATGTTACATTGAGATTGGTTGTCCACTCCTGACCTGCCTCTTCTGACTGAACTCTACCAGCTGTGTCACAGTGTTTGTATTTGGTCTTTGTTGCCTAGAGGCAGAACTGAAATAGATAGGTAGAAACTACCCCACATAACAGTGACATGTTCTCAATCTTAATATCATCATATGGTGTGCGTAATCTCCTGCTTGCCTTTGAAAGCTCCTAAAGTATTCACTGATGATGATGGAATCAGAGTATTTAGCAATTTTCCATACTGAGACGTAACCACTTGACTTAAAAGGAAAGGTATTATTACAGCAGAGCACATTCCTACATAAATGTGTTATTCACAACCGTTGCGGTCATGACTTCAAGACTAAAGACTGAAACATGAAACCAATATGCTGACAAATTGATGGAAAGAAACAGAGTGAAAAACAAGAGGGGAAAAATAATCGAAACGACACAACAATTTGTTGAGAAAGACAGACACATAAAGAGACAAATGGAACAAATACTGACATGGGTGGGCCATAGAGATTACCATATTACCATAATTGTTGAAACATCACCAGCTGTTATCAAGCTCATAATGTGTATTCAGGTTAGGTTCAATCAGTTTATTCCCAGCCAGACAATCTAAGGCCCCAGCAGTGTAAATTAGGCCAGACATGCTAAATTTAAGACTCAAAGACCTTATTAGTACTCCTTATGAAACACAACTCTCACAGGCTGATGTCAACATGGTGAAAGTTTCCAAACAAAAGGCAGGAGTCAATAAATACAGTGATGCAGAGATAATATCGCAGCTGTAAACTGTTCGATTGTTTGATTGTTTGATTTGATGTAGTACCTCGCTCAATCTAAGAATCCCTTTTCCGAGTTTCCGTCCTCCCTCCCTCCACCCCTCACTTCTTTACGTGTTTTTCTCACCTCAGTGATGTAGTCATTACCATCCTTGCCACAGATGGCTTTGACAGCACAGATATCCAGTCCCCCGAAGATCTCTGCACAAGTATCAACCCATAGCTTATACCTGTCACATAGGGAAAATGGATTAGAGTCATAATCCGTTAACAGCAAACAGGCTACCACTACAGTAGCCTATATACAATTACTAGTTTGCTAAGTTGCAATTTTGGCATTTGAGAAGGGACAAGAAGAGTCGCAGGTATTTGCAGTATTAAGCAGGACTGAAAATATTCCTGCCTCACAACATCTTGCTTAGTTTATTAAAAAAATATTTTTGTTCTTACACACTATCAATAATATTGACTATATTTGACTATGTATCACTTCAGTGCAGTATGTCCGTGCAACCGTTGCTCTTCAGGGCATTTAGCCTGACAGTAAACCTGTTACAGAACCTCTCTAGCTCTGGGACCAATATTGACTATAAAGGAGCTTTTGCTGCAGCAGCATCTGTAAAGACTTTCTGTCTGGAGAACTGAACATAATATAGATTAAAGAAAGCCTTCTATGATGTTAATGTTTTTAGAATCAGAATCTGGTTAATTGCCAAGGGTTTTCACATACAAGTAATTTGTCTTTTTGTATTTTGGTGCATAACAATTAACAAAGATAAAATAAACAAGATAAAAATCAATATAAAAAGTAAACATTTACAGTAGGAAATATGAAGAAATATAGTAATTACAAAAATATGTACAATATATCTGTTTTTAAGGCTGTTCAGTTGTGCAGGAATGTGTAAAACATTACAGCGGTTAGGTCAGGGAATAATTGAAAAGATTGACTTTGATGAGGACAAGTGGTGAGTGCCTGATTTTGTAAGAGCTTGTGTAAGTGGCAGGGTAAGGTTTGGAGAGTTCAAAAATGAGCAAACTGAGCTAAAAGTTGGAAATGTATGTAAAAGCAAAAAAACTACTTTGGATCCTTCAGGATAGTATTTATGCATCAATTCTTCAGCTGTATTTCAGTGGTGCTGCATGTGGACGTTGGTGCAGTAATGACACTACAAACAATACCACTCCACTACCCCTATATCTGACTATAGACATTTTTCACAGCTGACCTTTTCACTTGTTGTAGCTGTAACTTATCATTTATGAGGCTCTGTTCCATTTTGGTGTCTTTATAGGCCATGCCAGTAAGACAGCATGCATTATTAACGTTATCAGTTACACCTGAGCATTCCCGCTGGTACAGGTCAAAATACATGCTGTGAAAGAGGTGCATAATCCAGATTTTAGCAATTGGAAGAGCAGCTCAATGTGAGAACGACCTTCGACAAACTAGTATTCTATGTGTACAAAGACACGATACATGTTAGAAAATGTATGCACTGTCCACTGAAAACATCAACTGATTTTTAAACATCTGTGTGTTTATCCATGTGTGAGGGCAATGTGACTAATAGTGACATAACACAAGGACAGCCTGAGCATCACTAATGCGGAAGCGGTGCTCACTTGTCAGTCATGGCTACTTGTTCCAACATGGCAGATCCGGTGTTGCTCTTCCAATTACCAGAGATGGATGTTCGCCTGGAAAAGAGCAAGAGCAAATTGCGCGTTAAATTATTAGAGACAAAAACCTTCACTTGTAGAAATGATGAAACACAGGCAATAGAGATTTACAGCCTGTCTAATTCATAAATTTCATTCGATTAAGCACACACACAAACAATGTTCTGGTGTCAGAATGTCAGAAAATGATAAAAAACATTGTTTCAGGATCAGGATAGTGACCAAGTAGTGGTCCCAAGAGTCAGGACTGATGAGAGAACCTTATATAATTGCCTCAACCTTACTGCTAAAAACATACATATTTTGTGACTGTTATTGTTAATATGTTCTGAAAAGTTTACAAGCAATATGATTTTAATATATGGCTTAATCTGCATTATATGTGCCAGGGCACTAAAGCTATGTAGGAATGTTTGAATAAACACCCATGCATGTAAGGGTAAATGAGGATTTTAAATTTCACGTGGCTAAGTTCATGCTCTATCAAAGCAAATGCATATGCTACCATTCCCCTGCACAACACAAACTTTGCTTATTGTACAGTACACACATGAACACACAATATGTGAAAGAAAACTCTAACACACATGTATGCTTTGTAGTCGGCGCCGATTTTCTGGACCCTGATGTCGTATTTGGCGTCTATAAATGGCTCTGTAGTGCAGTAGGTCTGAGTGATGGCCACAACACTTGCAATGTCCTGGAAGTCACTCACATTGTCCACTTTAACCTACAGAGGAATA